CCCATTTAAAATTTTTACCCCCCCGGGGCCCAAAAATTGGCCAAATTTTTAAAATTTTTTTTGGGGCCCCTTTTTAAAAGGGGGAAAATTTTTCCCTTTTCCATATTTATCGGGGGGGTGGGGCCCTTAAAACCCCTAAATTTGGCAATTTTTTGGGAAGTTTTTCCAAAGACGGGGGCCAGGGATTTTATCAAAAAATTTTTCTTTTTTAAATTTTTTCCCCTTTGGTTTTGAAAAAAATGCCAAAAAATTCCACGGGGGGGGGGAGGGGGCAAATTATTTTTTCCCAAATTGGGTTTTTTAAAAAAATTTTTACGGTTTTTTCGGGATTTTTTTTTCCCAAAAAAAAATTAATTTTAAACCGGGAAAAAATATGTACAAAAACCACGGGACCCATTTTGTTTTATATAAATTAGATTTTTAACTGTGAAACTAGCAAAATAAAACTTGAAATGTAAAAAATTTTTTCCCAAAAAACGCAGTTTTTTTTAATGGTTTTTGTTGAAACCCATTTTTTGGGGGAGTTTTTAAAAACTTTTTGGGGGATTATAAGATAGTATTTTTAAAAAATTTTTTTAGAAATTCCCTATCTCAAAGAAACTATAAATTATTTCCCTTAAATTTTTTTAAACAGGGAAAGGGAAAAAAAATGCGGGACTTTGGTCGTAAAAAATTTTTTAAAAAGGTTTTGGAAAAAATATTTTATCTTTTTTAGTTATACAATTACCCATTTACTGTTTCAGGGTTTTTAAACAAATTAAAAAACCCCAAAAAACCCCCGGGGGGGGTTTCCCTTTTTTTTGGGAAAGGTTTTAAAATTTTAATTTTTCCCCCAAGGGGGGAAGGAATAGTGGGTTTGGGATAGGGGTGTTTTTTCTTTTTGGGGGTTTTCCCTTTTTTTGGAGGAATTTTAAAATTTGTTTCCTTTCCTTAGGGGGAGTGGGAAAAACCTTTTAAAATTTTTAAAAAAAATAAATACCCCCACTATTAAAAAAAAAATAATTTGATTTCCCCAAAATTTTCCCATTTTGGATTAAAAAATGGGGGAAGCAACGTTTTTTCCCGGGCCCTTTTTTTAAAATTTAAAGGCCTGTTGTCTTAAAACCCAATAAACAGAAAAAAAAACTTTTTTAAAACCCACAAATTTTCCTACTTCCTGATCCCCCTTTTTTTACCCACAGTTTCCAACGGGAAAAAAGGCCATTTTTTTAATTGGGGCTTTTTTTGCAAACCAAAAAATTTTTGCGGGGGCCTTTTTTCCTTTAACCCGGCCGGGGAATAAAAAGTTTTTCTTTTTTAACCAAAAACAAAAAACCCCAAAAACCAATTTTATTTTTTCCTCAATTGCTCCCCCAAAAAGGGCCCGCGGGTAAAGGAAAATTTTTATTTTGAAATTATTAATCTAAAAAATTACCTTTGGGGGGGGGACTGGGGTCAAATTCCTTTTTCCCCACTTTTTTTTTAAGCTTTTAAAAAGCTTAAAAACCCATATTTTAAAAAACCTTTTTGTGAGGTTTGATCTCAAAAAGGTTTTTTTTGTAAAAACCCCTAAACCCGGGTGAGTCCTAAAAAAACCCCCCCAGGGGGTTTGGGTTTTCGCACCCCCCCGGGCCCCCCGGGCTTTTCCCAAATCCTTAAATTTAAAAAACCACGGCTTTTTAAAAAAAAGCCAACATTTTATTTGTTTAGGGGGCCAAATTGTTTTTGAAAAAGGGTTATGGGAAAACCCCCTCACGGGGGGGGGGGGCGCGGGGGGGAACCCGCGCGTTTTTTTTTATACCCGCAAACTTTTTAGGGGGGGGGGGACCATTTTTTTTTTCCGGGTTTGGGCCAAAAAGGGGCCAGTGGAGTGCCATTTTCCCAATCTTGTTTTTCTGGGGCCCCCTTTTACCCACGGGCCCCCTCTGTTTTTCGGGGCCATTTTTGGCCAAAGGGGTGAAAACCATTTTGTATTAAAAAGTTTTGCAAAAAAATGGGGGATGTTGTTGCCCCCATCTAAAAATTTTAAATTTTTTAGGGGCTGGGGGCTCCCCGGGGGTTTTGCTTTTTTTAAAACTTTTAAAAATTTTATAAAAACCCAAGAAAAAAAAACCAAACCCCACGGGGGTTTACCCGGGTAAAATTAGGGGGTTCGGGGGGGGAATTTTGCAAATTTTTTTTAAAATTTACATTTCTTGGGCTGTTTTCCTTTTAAAAGGGCCCCAATTTTTTAATTTTTTTAAAAACAGGTTTTCCTTTAACCGAAAAAAAATTTTGGATTTTTAAAAAAATTTAAACCTTAATGGGGGGGTAAAAAAAAAAAAAACCCTTGAAACAATTTTTCCCAACCGGGGGTTGTTCCGGGCATGGGGCATATCCCCCAAATTTTCTTTTAAAAACTCATAAATTTTGCCCAAATTAAAAAAATTTTCTACTACAAATTTTTCCCTTTTTAAAAAAAAAACAGTTTTAAAAAAAGTTCATTTCTAGGGTCCCCCCCCAAAAATTTTCCCAAAAAAAAATTTAAAATTTCTTTTTCGGGTTTTAAAATTAGCAAAAAGAGGGGGGGCCTTTTGGGGGGCGGGGGGTTGTTTTTTCCAAACCCCAGAAAAATGTGTCCAAAAAACATTTCCACTGTTGGGGTTTTTCGTTTCCCTTTGTTAAATTTTTTTAAAAATTTTGGCCCCCATTTCTACAATGCTTGGGTTGCTTTTTCTTTTCCTTTTTTGGGGCCATTTTTTTTTTTTAAAAAGGGGAACCGGGAAGGTCCCTTTTTACGATAAAGTGGGGTCCATTTTCTTCATGGTTGCTTTTTTTTGGGGGAACTCCAAAAACCTAATTTTGGGGTTAAAAAAATTTCAAAAACGGGTTTTCCCCAAGGGGGAGCCTTTTCTTTAAAAACCTAAAAGCTTTTTTTTCCCAAGGGAAATTTTTTTCAGGGGCCCAACCATACTTTTTAAAAATTTCCCTTTAAAAAAGAATTTTTCGGGGACATATCAAAAAATTTAAAAATTTTGGGGGAAAAAAAAACGGGTTTTTTTTTTTCCCTGTTGGGTAAAACTTTTTAAGTTAAAAACCCCATTTAAATTTAAAAAGGAAAAGGGTTTTTTAGGGGGTTGGGGGGAAAACCGGGTTTTTTTTTTCCCGGGGTTAAAATTTGGCCGGGAAAAAAAATTGGGGATTTTTTGGGGTTTTCTTTTCCTCTTTGGAAAATTTTTTAAAAAAATGTTTTCCCTTTTTCCCCCTCCCCCTTAAATTTTTAAACAAAACGGGATTTTGGGAATATCCTTTTTTGGAAATATGGGGGAATAATTTTTTTAAAATTTGAAAGGGGGAATAAAAACAAAAAAAAAGGGGGCCCGGGTTCCAAACCAGGGGGGCTTTTAACAAAGGGGGGAACCCCCCCCTTTTTGGGGGCCAATTCCACCAATTTTTTTTAGAGTTTTTTCCCCCCGGCTTTTCCCTTTCTAAAAAGAGGGGGGGGGGGGGGGGGCACAGGGGCAACGTTACACCACTGGGTCCGGACCCTTGTTTATTGATCAACTCCAAATCACGCTTCACGTAGAGACGATTAACACGAACCATACTTAATAACGGAATAACGGATAAAATTTGCTTCAAATACCTATAACCATACTCTAAAACGCAATTTAATGTCCAAAAGTTTGTTTGATAACCCAACTAAACATTTGAATACTCGTGACCAGGAAAAAATTTAATTCGTTTTTGTCTTAAATTAGTAAACGTTTTAGTTAAATAAAAGACGGTGAATTATTTGCCGATAAGTATGAAATACTCCGCTCCCCATTAAAAATAAGTTATAGAAGGTCATTGGTTGGACCAACGGGGAAAAAACATCTATTTAGGCGCGTATTAGTTAGAAGATGTAAAGTCCTTCTAATCACTAATAATTAATTATTGTTTGCAGGTAAAGGGGCAGAGAGGTTAACAACAGCCCAAGCTGACAGTGCTATACGGACTGCAGTGCGGGGGAGGGGTGGATATGGAGGATCTTTATAACGAGATCAAAACCTTTCCTGTTAGGCTGCTATTGATGATGGCAACATTGACGCAGGCTCAGCGGGCTAAAATCATCTTCAAACTCTCTGTGCTGTGTTTCTTATGTTCTGGTTAGTGTAGTAGTTGTACATTAATACTAAGGTAATGGGACTACTGCGGACCCCTCTACCGGCCAAACCTTGTTAACAAAGCCGCAGTCAAGGTTTTGGTGAAGGTAGTTAAAAGCGCTTAAGGGACATAAGTCAAAGTGGTAGAACTAGAGCAAACATCATGTAGTGGGACATTTTGAGAAATGAGTAGTAGGTAGAAATGGTAAGGTTGCTTCTTCATAAATCGTCTTTTTCTCCGATATTAAAATTGACATTCAAGTCTCTTGAAAATTATCGAGGAAAAATCTTGATGTCAATTTTATTATCGGAAAAAAGACGATTTTGAAGAGCAACCTGACATTTCTACCTACTACTCATTTCTCAAGATGTCCACTACATGATGTTGCTCTACCACACTGGTTAATGGTTGAGAACACGTGACCAATTATTACCACAATTAAAGTAATTAATTAATTAATTAAATTAAAGTTATCCAATCTACAAGTCCCATCACTTTGATCTGCTTTATTATTATGTTGGTGATATGGGAGCACTGCAACATCCAAAGTATTCATTAAATAAAGTGATTATATTGCCTTGTTATTCAGTCAAAGTGGGCGCTAGCAATGGTGTCTCAAGTTGGAAAATGTGGTCAACAATGTTTTTATTTATCAATATTTTGCTGAGTTTCAACACTTACTTTAAAACAAAATGCCCGAGGTGTAGTTATTCATTATAAATATAAAACATTTTTTTTAGAATAGGGCCGCAGGCTATAAATAAAAAATACTGAAAGCTGAATTACCTCGTTGGCGTTGATGAATCTGGAATTTTGGAACTTTTTTTGGAACATGGGGGACCAAATAGTGGGACTTGCATTTATTTGCCCTAATATTCCCTGAAGGGTGCCAGGAAATAATTTGTAAAAATGATAGATATAGTTTGCAAGCTGGTCTGGGGGGCCATCGAAAGTAAGCATAAACATTTTACCCAGGTTTCATGGAATGAAACGGAAATGAACGAAAAATGAAACATTCTCTTCAAAAGTGCTCAGAATAGTTTTATAAATTGGTCGCAAAGAACTTAATATTGGTCCTAGGACCACCAAAATAAACCAAAGTTTGGAAATCCACTGCATGGCTTGAACCGATGTAATCAATGTTCCAAAATGTTCCAATTTTGTTCCAATAATCCTCCTGAGTATCCAGATTTTTGGGAACATGGGGACATCGAAAGTATTGGCCGTTCTAGACATACATTTGATTCCCAAACTTGGTTTGAGTGGTCCTAGGACCAATATTAAGGCCAGGAGGGGGGGGGGGGGGGATAAGGGGTCAAAAAAATCGACCCAAATATTTATTTTCTAAATCAATTAAATTTTTTGATGACAAGAAACATTGCTGCTATTCACATTATTTATAGCTGCTTAAACTTTTTTTATGATTGAGGTTTAACCCGATTTTCCCACAAAATTGACTTACAACATTGAGGTAATAAAATTAATTGAGGTTAATATTTTATTTACACTCCATAATTTTTTTTTTATTTTCGGTCAGCAATGTAAACTCTAAATTTTTAGGTTCATTAAATTGTCAGAAAAAAAAGTAATATCCCGAAACGTGATTAAATGAGGTTTAGCCCTTTTTTTTTTAGATATAGCGAAATTAGATCAAATGATTAGAGTTATTATATTTATTTTCATCGTAAGTTTACGGTATAACACATTTCTAAATAGATTGACGTGTTGATTGACTTTCTTTTATCTTGGAAAAAAGTGAAAAAATAATGAGGTTAACTTACCTACAATTTTGGTACCGTAAGAATATCAACGATTCTATACTTTTGTAATGTACCACACACAACTCTGGAACCCCTCTGGATTGTAAGGAAAAACTGGAAGAAAAGTTGCGAAAGCATGTCACAACAAAACCGGCCTGAGCACGCTTCTTGTTGAGCCTCCAGTAGTTCCTCAGGCTGAGCCCGAAATGCGTTACCCATTCCTCCAAACTTTGGAAACTGGGGGTTATTGATCTACAATCCCAAAAAATCTAACAAAACATAGCACCCTTCCAAACATTTTTGTTT